GGATCTTGCTCTCCTGCCACCCTGAATTGGAAGAAGCAGTTGGAAAATGGATTGATGGAATTTGTTTTATATAAAATTGTATCACATAACACATGGTGTCCTAGGTGGTTGTTGCTCCCAGGGGCAGGCCCTTGCTAGTTCTTCTTTCTTCAAGCAGGTGTGTCACACATCTTTCTTCACGCACATCTGTCGCTGTCTCCTGAAGGCACATTTTAAGGCATATCCCACCCTTCCAGCCTCCTCAGCCTCATCATTATCCCGCTTGAACTGGGCACTATGCCTCATGTCTCACTGATTAGCCAAGGAGCTTGTTTGGCTCATTTAGTAGTCAGTAGCTAATTGAGTCAAGGATCTCATCCAGCAGTTTTGTGAAAGAAGTCAGCATTTAAGCTTCAACACCATGGCTGAGTATGGACCTGTCTCCAGTTCTTGTCTTCAAATGCACTTCATTGTAAACCTGCAACTCGGGATATTGTGTTCAGCCCACGCAGCCCCATCTTTTTACTTTATACACATTTGCATGAAGAACGTGCTCCATACCTGCTTCTCATTTACCCTGAAGCCTTGTACACACTGCTGGGCTCTTGGCATTCTGACTGGTAGGAAGAATGTAATGTTAATTTTTCCCTCTACCTAGAAGAAAGGTTAGCTAAGGAATAAATTAGAATACATTTCATTTTAGGCAATATGCTAAAAGGGATTTAATGGACTGGAAAAAGTAAATAAAAGAACAACCACACTAATCTCTAGGCTCTGAGGTATCAGTGAGTTAAGGGTTTTGATCACAGACAGTAACAAAGGGATTTGATCTAAGCGCTTCAAACTCCCGAAACGTTTTGACAGAGTCGACACAATGGAATTTAAGATCAGGCATAAAAAAGACACGTAAAAATTATGTCCTAAAATTAAATTATGCCTGAAACATCAAGGGAAACCAATGCATCACAATTACACATTTGTCTACAGCATTGTATAACAGCCTCTGAAAGCTTAAAATATTTTGCCAAAAGCTATGTTCTCAGTGATCAAGTAATGCAGTATCCATTATAAACAGAAATTTTGGGCTACTCTAAGTGAATAGTTTACTAAATGTTTTTTACTTCTTGCATATGTTAGGAAATGTCAAAGATAATTAACAATTCATGTATCACGTAACAGATCTTTAAATGATAAGATTAAAACCACCCAGATTTGCTCAGTGACAGCTCAAGGGCTGTTTGGTTTCTTTACACAAGAGGTCTGGTATTTATCTAAATAAAGTTGGAATGTTTCAAACTGATTTGTAGCTCATGACTTAAGGTTATTTATGACATCTGTAATAATTTCACAAGTGCTCCACCAATTTTCTCAGCACTTATAGGCAATTTATAGGATGCTTCATGTCTAGATTTCACGTCTGCAGGATAAAAATTAAATTTACCCCAAATATAAATAGTGAGATTGTGTTTTCTGGTGTGAGGGAACATATCAAAAGATAAAATAGAGAAATTCAAAGGAAGTGAGACTCCTTATCCAACAACACGTTATGATAAAAAATTTTGTAACCAAGCAACAAGCCTTGAGTTAGCCCATGAAGTGGATTGATAGTGGTTTATCATGACTTAAAAATGGATATAAAAAATAATTGAGAGAGTTTCTCAAGACTCTGTTACCTGTCGATTAGGAGGCCTAGATGGATTCTAAGAAAGGAGTCAATCAGTCCACAAGTCTCTGTTTTTGCCTGAAATGTGCAGCCCAGGTCAGATGACATACTGATGCCTGTAGTTGATATCTAATTCGAAGGGGGCAAAATTGTTCTGTTCACCTCAAAGTAAGAAAATGACAGAGGGAGAGCTTCTCTCCAGATATATTTCACTGTGAGATATTTGTTCCATCTTCTTTGATTGATCAATACATGATCATTCTTAATTATCAAAATCCCAGTTTTGGTGGAGAAAAAAAAGATCTGTCTGGCAGAATATATCTTTGTAATGAACAAGCAAAACGTTATTTTCAATTGGAGAGGGGTTTAAACTGCTTCTATAGCATGTTATTTCTTTATTAATAAATGCTTACTGATTCAAATAGCCTGACGTACAATGAAAGGTTTGTGAATGAGAAAATCTCACCAGCTGCTCTTCTGGGATTTTATAATATAATGATCAATGGTTAAGTCCTACAGACAGCTTATTCTGAATTGTAAATCTTTACAGCAGCACATTCACTCACACAGCAGACTTTTCTCAAAAGTGACAAGATGATGAGTAGATAGTTTTTCTCTGATTTGTGAACTATGTGTTTTTACTGCTGTGCTACTTTAAATACAGCAAAAATAGAAACACTTAATTTAATTAATTATTTTTAATAAATTGCTATAGCAATGCAAACACTGTTTTCATGCATACGTACAGTATCCAGAACACATACTGTAGTAAAACTGTGGCTCTACTGATCTAGTTTGCTCTAGTTGATAATGTAAACTTAACTGGTAATTTCTTTACACTTCCCTTATACTTCACTGCTGTGAAAAGACAGTTCATGAAACTTCGTATTGCAGAACTCTGCAGTTTCTGCCAAGCAGAGACAAAGATGGGCCAATGCAAGATACAGAAACACGTAGTTATATTAGGCATGATTCACATTGTATTTATGTTGAAAGACAATGATCATTTCACCTTTAAGAGAATTCTGATGAAAAATTATTAAAAGGGAATCATTACAGTCATTACTGTTTGTGTAATAAAGAAACAAATTCTTTCAACAATCGATTTTCTTATAAACACAGACACTAAGCATGTCCCTTTAATTATTTTTAATCAGAATCTTCTTAAAGATTAAATTATCATTGTCTTTCAAAATTCATAAGACATTTGTTGTTTTTCTATTTTTTACTTTTGATTCATTTGTTTTGTTTGCACTAAAGTAAACAAACTGGCTAGCAGTAGTTTGAAAAAAAATGGTTACTTCTCCCTGCAGTTAGTCAGGATATTTCAAAACTTCCTGAGTGGTAAACACAAAGCTTCACAAAGAGAGTGATACAGTACACTAGATTTAAGACAGAATACAAAACAAGCCTGGTTTTGAGAGCTAGAAAAATATTACATTTGTCCACCAAAGAGAAGTGGAGTTTGACACTCCTCTTGCTTTCTGAAATAGGTTTTCCATCTATCCATTTTCTAACTATTTTATCCATTTCAGGATCACAGAAGACCAGAGCCTCTCCTGGCAACCAACAGCTTCAAGACAGGATTCACCCTGAATGGGATGCCAGTCCATCGCAGGGCGCACACATACACAAACACACACATTCACACTAGGGTCAGTTTTTCCCAAAGGCCAATTAACCTCCCAGTTTTATTTTCAAATACCTGGCTGCCTAAAACTTTATAAGATTCAGTTACAAAATTCAAGGGAGGAGCAGCTCTGGCTTGGATTGCTGCAAGTGAGTGTATTAAAAACATGGTAACAGGGTGTGATTTATAGAGTGAACCCTTGGGACAAATTACTTCATCTAGCGCTTGAGACTGGCCAGCTGTAAAACCTGTGTCAAGATGTAAACACGTCCTGATGTCACAGGCTGACTGCTCTGGATTCAGATCAGACAAAGCTGGACATGGCAGGACACTACACTGGAGCCAGACTTCAGAGTACATGGATAAGAGGGGCTAAAAACACTTCTCCTTCAAGCCATTGGAAAGTCCTCTAAACACTTGCAACACCCAGGCCAATTGATAGAAAAACATGGTTCATGTTCTTTCGAGGAACAATGACTGACTGACACAATTTACAACAACATTGATGAGAGGGCATTACAGCAATGTTTAACCCTTTCCTGGGAAGCAGTGGCCTTCTTCCTCAGGAGGCACCTGGGAACCAGAATGATTTAACTAATTGGAAGAGCATGACGGGATTCTGACATCCTGCCAGATGACATTTTCTTCATGTAGGAATGTAGCCTTCCAGGACCCAGTAACTTTACGCCTGCTATCAGTAGCTCATAGGGAATATTATCAGGGAACATGTCCCCAACATCAGACTGTCTTTCAGGTCCTGTAGCCTGTGTTAGTTATAGCAATCTTGCTGCTGTCTGGCACAGACATTCACAAACTTGGCTCACTTCATTGCTCCAGAAATACTATCCTAAAAGGCCAAATATCCAGCAGTAAACCTCTTACTCTGGTGGGGCTCACAGGGGCCTGTTCTTTAAGCTCAGGGTGTAAGGTGGAACCAAAAGCACTGCTGCTCTTTTCTTAGATGTAACCCTGGCACCCACTGGACACAAGAAGGGACAATCACACCCGCCCAACATGTCTTTCGAAATTCCCGCACAGACATGTCACCCTGTCTAGCGAAATACTGAGCTATTAACATTAATGCACACCAAGTGTGAATATGCTGTCAAAAACATAAGAAACCACTTTCATTTATGCAATATTTGGTACAGTATTAGTATTCGAGGATAAACGTTCAAGGTTATCGGCGATTTATTTTGCTTTAAAAAATAAATTTACTAGGGATTTAAAATCTCTTCAAACAATCTTGCTGAATCAATGAAAAGGGCAATAAAAGCATCGAAAGCTGCGACATATTTGGCATTGCGGGTGTCACCATCACAAATTTATTTTGCAGGTCTGCCAGGAATCCCCCGTTTGATTAGATTTTTTTGCTATTTTAAATAATTACCACGATCTTGTAAATGAGCGAAAGCGAAGATGGGTGTCATTAAAACGTTTTTCTCCTCAAAGAGATCTCCTGGGGAGCTTCTGAGAACGAGTGTCGAATTTTCACACAATTACAGAAGATGTATTTGAGAAAATATGTCGAGTTACATTTTGATCATTTTCACTTCTGTAATTCTGCACAATTCAGCGATGTTATTTGAGAACAACCAGCCAAAGAAACAAAAGAAAAGGGAACGAATTTTATAATATTGCAATAGTATTTATTTTATGCCTGGGAACCGAAAGGGCGGTTTCTTTGCTGAAGACATGATCAGCTTCCCCAGCTATCCTTGCGTACGTTTTGGGGATCTTAATCGGTTTCGTCTCGCCGTTGAGAAAAGTTTGGTCAGGTCTGCCTAATGTACGTCTCCCTCAAATATCAGCGCAGCACTTCGAGCTTGGAAGAGCAGCGTGCGAGTCTAAATATAAATGCAGACCACCCCCTCCCGAGACTGTTGCGTGGACCGCTCAGTTTGTGTCATTCAAGCACAGCACAGTTAACTGTTTCACAGGGTGTCATCTACGGGAAGCGAGTACCGTTGTGCAGAAGTTCATCCAACTCAAAACAAGACACTGAGAAAAGAAGGGGCGTACAAGTTAAAGGAGGAGCCCTCGAGGATGGAGGTAAAATGTTCTTATACAACGTTTTGTATATTTCATTACTTTAAAAAACGTAAAGTTGTAACTTTTTGTCCCAACAGCCTTGCGTCGTCACTTTGACCGTTGTGTTACTATATTAATTTATGACACAGCTAGTTCCTTTTCGGTTTAGCTTTGCTTGATTTTAAGTGAATTTCCTATCAGCACAATTTAATTGAGTTGTTAATGGTGTCAGTCTTTCTCTGTAACGCGTTCTTTATGTTTTGTTTAATTCCCGTATGTATCTTTGAAGCTTTCCTTTCATTACATTCTTTATGTGCCCTAACTTTCAAGAGTACAGACATGGAAAGTTATAAAATGGAAATATGCAGTTATGATTACTGCTGTGAGCTAATTAAAAAGTAATTTATTTTAGTGCACTTTGGAGAACTTCTATACAATACTTAGATAAAAGGTAGAGTGAACTTGCTTAACATTAGAGCATTCGACTCCCCTTCCACTTCTGTTAATTAAATGCAGTGCAAGTCGTGAGAATTAAAAGTGGGAAAGGGGAGTCATTAAACTAAGAAAATGTAGTCCTTGTAGGTTTTATCTTCAAAATCACGTTACATAATTTGATGATGTTGCCTTGCTAATCTAGGTTTTCCCTTAATATAATTTAGTACGTGTTCCTTGTAGACTGCTTGTATTGTATGTCAGGAAAAGAGCTTCTCATTTGAGTGAACTAGTCAAGCATTGATTAATAATAAACGCACCACCTTGTGATGCACGGTGTACTTGGCTCCCTAGGGGGCGCACTTTTATTAAACAGAGTAGCAGTGTCTGTTATTCTTCAGAACCAAAACTTTGCAGAGCTTGATGTTCCTACATTCTAAAGTGGCATATCTGGATTGAAAACAGCAGTTTCAATGCTTCAGTCCATATTTTTCTGACCAATCACATATCGTCTCACATGATGCTCTGCTGTGTCTGCTAAAAATCTCAATGCCACATTGGAGCAAAGAAATGAGAAGGCATTTTGCCTCTTTTTTCAGTGCACAAAATTGAACTATGATCTGGGGATACTGGATCTTTACCTGTCACAAATGAGGCAACACTTTCTCAAACCTGTGCAGTATGTCCTTTGCCCTTTTTCTGCAGGGATGATTAAGATACAGTAGGAGGTTCTGTACAATGTTATCTCTGGGGTCCTGATCCCTGACTTATGGGTCAACATGAGGTATCCGAGATCTGTTGCTGAAGTCCTTGGTTGCATGTAGAAATGATAATGCAACTTACATGATACATAAAGAGCGGTACTGTGGCATAGTGGTGAGCATTGCTGCCTTGGGCCGTGGCTTAAATTCTGGACGTGAGGTGCTATCTGCATGGAGTTTGTATGTTCTCCCCGTGGAAAAGTGTTTGTTTGGGTGTACTCCTTCTCTTCAAACACATACACTTGATCCTAGCCAAAAGGCTGAGAAGCTGCATACTCCTAGGTTAACTGGCTTCTGGGAAAATTGGCTCGAATGTGAATGTGTGCATGTTTGTGTCTGTCTGTACCTTGTGATGGAAAGCCCGCATACTCAAGGTGTATCCCATCTTGCACCTGTTGCTTGCCAGGATAGGCTCTGGCCTCACTTATAACCCTGTATTGAATGAAGAAGTTAGAGGATAGATGAACCATAAAACTATGAAAATGTAACTTTTGATAATATTGTTTGAAGAATTCTGCACAAAATATGCCATAGTCTGATTGCACACAGTATTAGTGTGTATTAGTTGATCTATTAGTTCAGGTGGATGAGATGTTTTGGTGGACAGGAAATCTGCAAGTGTACCCAGGTGACGTAAAGAAGCAAGTACAGGCGTTCATTGGAACTGAGTATGCACTTCATTGTACAGTACAGTCTGCTGACATGATGGGTCTAAATTAATACATCTGATTCAGTAAACTGAATACATCTGATCCACTCCTATCATCACATGACTTTAGTGCTGGGAGCTCTCCGAATATGGTTTAGTTATTAGACATTTATGGGTGAGCTTGTAAACACTCTGCAATTAATTCAAGGAAAGCACACAGTTTTTAGTATTTTTTCTGTTCAGTACTGCATGGCCTAGTCATAAATACCTTGACACATGAATGAAAACTCTATGTAAAGGGCACACATTACAGTACGTGGCAGAATCTTACATTCTGCTGTGCATTCTAATGCAGTTTACTGTGGAGGTTTCATTTAGAAAGTTTTGTATTTCTTTGAACTTTATTCCTTGACATGTGACTCTTCATGGAAACATGAAAAATCTTGGAGATAATTTAATAAAGTTCAATCCAAGGTGTTTTTGTTTTATTTTATCACTTTGTATTTTAAAATGCTACCTGGGGAATCAATTGTAGATCAGACATCAGATGACATTGAAATCTAGAAATGTTCTCATTGAAAGCCATTGGTTTTTCTAGATAACTTTCCTTTGTTTTGTCTACAATATTCTTTAATGAAACAGATGCTTTTATTCAGATTTTAAAAAATGTTATAATATAATATTGAATTGACTAGTTTGCTTAAACCAGAACAAATACAGTATCACATTAACAGGGATAGAATATGTTGTCTGGTGGCCACATAGTCACGTTAGATGTACAGTAACTAACTGCTCCCAGCAGTGAAATGTCTGTGTATAGTATTGAAAGTGCTTTGCTGTCAGTAAGTTTTTAGACCTTGGATCAGGGTATTTCAGCTTTCATTTTCAGTCAGTATTCATTTGTTGCAGTTCCTTTTTTGTATATTTCTCTGTGCATGTGTTTATGGAATATTAATGGCTGTCTTTAACCACTTGCCTCCTTCAAGCTTAAACTTAAGTTAAATATGTTTCCCAGTGGCTTTGAGATTTAGATTTAGAAAATGTACAGTGAGATTTAGTTCTAGGATGTATAAATTAAGATTTAGTTATAATATTTAATTCTCAGATGTATATATTGAGATATAGTTCTTGAATTAACACAATTTAATTTTCAACTAGCAAATACAACAAAGTGTTCTCAAGTGAAGGAATCACTAAAGCACTCACTCAGAGCTCAGGGTGAGCTCTATGACCCCCAAACATTCCTTAAGCAGAAACACACGATTGGTAGATTGTAAGGAACAAGTCTGCAATAAATTTGGGATTAGTTAGCCAGAGACCTCACAGTTTAGACCTCAAGTGACTCGTGGAACTTGCCGACCACCCACAGACTTGCAGTGACACCAATAAGGGAGCCACCACCTTCAGCCAGCACTAACTCTCTTGTCAGGCACTCTGGATCTTGGAATGTGTCAAGTAATGAATCAGTAGATTTCACCTAGAGAGTCGAGTTCTAAAAATCATTTGTTCTAAGTTGGGTAGATAAAATAGAAAAATATGGAAAACTAAAATGTAACTAAAACCCTGAGGACACATGGACCTCCTCTGATTCTCATATCCTCCTTTTACCTTCTTCAGCTGGTGAAACTAAAAGTGTGTGTTGTGATTGGAAACAAAATATCTGTGCCTTGAAAGCTTAGATATAAATGTGCAATATAAAGAGAGTTCCTCTGAAAGTGCGCAGCACAGTGGCACAGTGGTTAGCATTGCTGCCCCAGTATGCTAAGACCCTGGGTTCAATTCTTGGGGTGCAATTATATGGGGTGTGTATGTTCTCCCTGTGTTCATGTGGGTTCTGGGAAAACTGGCCTGGGTGTAAGTGTGTGTATTTGTCTGTGTGTGCCCTGCAACAGATTGGGGTCCCATCCAAGATGTATCCTGCCCTGTGCCTGTTGCTTGCCAGGATAATCTCCAGCTCCCTTGTGACCCTATACTGGATAAAGAAGTTAGAAAATATATGGATGGATCACTGAAAGTCTATTTTAAAGAGTCAGGAAAAAAGTACTTCACTGTGACTTGCTCTTGTTAACATACAGTATGGCTTATTTTCATTGAAGGACATCTTTATTTCTTAGAAAAGAGCCAGTGTAATGAACTGATGTTAGTCACTTGATGTGGGTTTTACTCAAAAGACTCTGAGATCGTAAAGGGCAAAAAACTGTCTGATCCTGGCAGATGCTGCTTATGTGCACAACTTGTCACAGTTAAAAAAGATCTAGCAATGGCTAGATATGGGGGTAAATAAGAGTATGCTTTCCCACAAAGCATGAATCTTCATGAATATCGTTGTCAGGCAGAAAGTTAATGGTAGAAGAGAACATAAAAATTTGAACTGGAGTCCTCTCTGCTCTGTTAGCATGTGTCAAAAAGGCTTCTTTACTCAGTTGTGCAGTTGTGATGGTTCTGGCAAAATGAAGTGCAGGCCTTCCTAATTCTTGGAAAAGTTGCCTGTTCTTGCTGCATGTTTTGCGTTGAGAGCTATCTTGGAATTACTGACACATTCCACCTCAAGAGCTGTAATGCTTTTGATTTTATCTGAACCATACATCTGCAGCACTGCTTGAATATGTAGACCCATTCATGTAGTTCAGACATCCATTTTATAATTTCTGTAGTGACGTAGCAGGAGTAAATTACATCAGAGCACATGGGACACTGCTATTTTACAAATGGCATACAACAACTGTAAAACCTTTAAAAGGTTAAAAACCTTAAAAAACTGAGAACGCAGGCTGTATGTAGCAGTCAATTCAGATGATTTTATGTTTGTTAATACATAAATACAGATTTTGCATGCTGAGGGTGTAAAAACATAGTGCTCTGAAATATTTGGTACTGCAAACAGTTATCTCTGACTAAAATGAAACAGGATGTGGTAAATGGCTTCATTGGTTCAGTGCCAGACTTAGTGTTTGTGCTGTTGTCACATTCTAATGCAGTCCTCTGCACACCATCTAGCTTTCCATGCTGTACCTTGTCTCTCTTCAAACATGTCCACTCTAGGAAATATCACAGATTACAGCAAATTAACTCTTTACACATAGGTCTATGACTGTAAGTATATAGACCTAAAAGGAGGATTTCTCTCATGCACTGTACACGATTAATGAATATTGACAGCTCTATTGCATTGTGTCTAG